AAAGTTTGTTGAGCGTGCTTGTAGTTTGGCAAGAATTTCATCCTTGCGCAGCTGGTAATAAACTTTCCCTTGATGGTCCATGTTGGAAAAGTCAATCATTATAATCTTGTCATCTCTTTCTTTTTTCTTTGGCTTCTTTCTTTTCTTGCTCCCTTTGATTCATTTGCTCCATTACTTTAACTTTTCTTTCTTCTATTTCAAACTTCTTCATTCTACTCTCAGTTGTATTTTAGTTAAATTTTTCCATCAAATCACAAAAACGAGTGTCTGAAGTATCTACTATCTTGTTTTTCCTACGTGCTTCTTTTGCAGCTTTCCTTCCACTAGGCCTTTTGGTTCTTAGGGAGTCAAATTTTTCAGGTCGATCTTGATCGGAATCGAGAGAAATAGGCGTCGCAGGAATTTGGGATGCAGAAAAGGAAAATGGGGAAGAGGAATATGGGGTCATTGCAGGACATTTTGGCTTTTTGGAGGATCCCCAATCTTTCCACTTAATGGCATGTTCCAAGATCGCTCAACAGTGATCCAAAGAAAAATGTTTCTTCTCATTTGCATAATACAAACTTTTTGCTTGAAAAATCTAGAAAATGATATAAAACAAAATTAGATGTATAAAAATTAAAATTACAACTAACAAGAAAAGTAGAAATCTCACCTTATCTGTTTCATTGATTCCACTTTGTTGCCTATTTTTAATTTGTCTGAGGCACCCACTATATTTACCGTAACACTTCATGATTATGCCCCAACGAGATTGGATAGAAACTTGTGTTCTACCATTTTCGTCGTTGCTATGATCAAGATAATTTGGAATATCCGATTCCAAAACTTACTTTATAAGTGCGAGTTACCAACAATTGGATCTTGGGTGATGCTCAACCAAGCATTGCAAATTGCTATATCTTGATTCGGCGTGAATGCCTTTCCCCGCTTTGTTGATGATTGAGAGACTTCCATTGATAGTTATCAATATGCCAAATCAAAGCAAGGGATTTGTGAACAAAAATAAACCTAAAATTAAACCTAATTTGGCTATTATAACTATTTCAATTTCCTTTATGTTTTTAGGAAGGAGAAGATTGAGGGATTGTGGCAAAGTTATCCCAAGAAAAGTGGTCCCAAAACTGCAAAAGATATTATATCTCAAAATTATACAGTAGTTTTTTTAGAATTTGCAGTATATATGATTGACGTATTTCAGATTTCTATAAAAATTATTCACATGAATTCAAGTACGAGTTGGGTGCTTGTCTGATGCCTAGATCTTATGAGACCAGAAGACTGGTAATAATTAGTAGGGTCCAAAAAATTGTGTATGGAGTATCAAGAACATATAATTATTTGTGGGTGAGTTATATATAAATGGGTTTACTTAACTAAATAAAATAAAATAAGTTAACCGGGAAATTTTTTTCTAAAAATGTATGAAGAATTATAAAAATTGCCTAGTATGTGCCTAAGTGATCCTTGTCACAATTATAGCAAATACAAAGGTAAAACATAAAACTAAATCTTTTTTAAAAAAATACATTCACATAATGGATGCTACTGAAAAGTCATTAAAACAAACAGAGAAAGAACTAACTAGAGTACATCGTTACAGAAAGAATTTCCTTAATGTATCTAAAAGGAACTTTAGCAGTGATATTAAATAAGTGTGAATATTCAACAAGCTACATTAATGTGAATGACATAGTTGTTTTCCTACTTTTTCTATGCAATTCACAACAAATTAAACCATCAAAACTATAAAATTATTCTATTCCATGTCTTTATAATTCCTAATGAACTAAAATTCAAATATATAGGTGTTTTGGGATATGCCGCATAATTAAACAGAAAACATACTACTTTCTTTACATTGATCAATATGATTTGATACTTAATTTTTTGGTAAGCAAGTACGATGAAAACAATATGCTCCAAATTTCAGGCCCCCTAAAAAAAGGTGCAAGATAACAAGAGACAAAGTATCAACTAATATTATATTATCCCCAAACATCTGAATTATTGAAAATTACCTGCTGCAGATATTCTTCAACGCTTGTTGCCTCGGCAGGGAAGACATCCTCGAATGTCGTCTACAAGAAGCAAACAGAAAATGAGGACAAATAGTAAACATTAATGCACAGAGGACAAATTAAAAAGGGAAGAAGAAAAACAAACAAAAAAAACTTGTTCCTAGCATAAAAACTTAACATCTTCCTAATATCAAGCAAATTCAAAAACCCAATTCACCCAAATTTTCCCTCACGTATATTGCGATCATTTTAAAAAATAATAATATTAATGAATTAATTTTTCCATATATGTAAGCATTAATTGAGTAACTGAGTAACACAGAATCACTCCAACACAAAAAAGAAAAAGTATCTGAAAGAGAGCAAGTTTGGTGTGACACATATATACAGGTTGCCCATTTTCTTCTCTTTCTGTTGCACACAAAAATTAGATTAAGCTCCACATCTCTATCTACACACATATAGGGGAAGAGAAAATACTGGATGTCCCTTTTCTTCTCTTTCTATCACTGGTCACCGGTTTCTTCCCTTTCTATTCCTGCCGTTTTCTTCTCTCTCTCTGTTGCCCTAGAGAAATGGGAGCGAAATAGGAGTCGGTCCCTTCTATTTCTGTAGCCCTAGAGAAATAGCAATTGTTGTACTTTTCATGTACCACAACACTAATATTTATCAAAAAATATTTATATATGTACCACAACACTAGTAACCTATTTAACATAGTCTATAAATGTGAAGTATCAATAAAGGTCTAACAATAATGTATTTTCCAAGACAATTCATATAATCATTCATTTAAAGTAATACATGTATGTATAAACATAAATTAGCAGGAAATATCAGAAATACATTTAATGAGATCAAAATGTCAAATATATATAAACACTGTTAAACAATCCATTAAATATAATAATCATCATTGATTACATTCAAGACCCATTCTTTCAACATGTCCCATAAATGTCTTGGGTAGTAGTCCATTCGTTAATGGATCTGTAATCATAAGTTGTGTGCTTATATGTTAAATAAACACTCGTTGTTTCTAAACATTTTCTTTAATGATAAAATATTTCAACTTTATGTATTTAACAACTTTAGAATACCTATCATTTTTTCATGCAAGAATATCGACAATTGCGGGATAAATTTTCAGCAACCGAAAAAGGGTACCCATAACTCCTAATCCTGAAATAAATTTTGAAACCATAAATCATGAATTGTAACCTCGAAGCGTACTACAAATTCACTCTCCATAATAGACAAAGTAATAATAAAATACTTTGCACTTTTTCATTCATCCAGCCAAAAGGAACAAATAACCAATTGTGGATTAATTATCCACATATATATATATATATTTTTAAAAAATGTCTCTTTTAAGTGTGAGATTATCCTTTACCAACCTGCGTATTTATCAAATTTTGTAAAAAAATATATTATCTACCCCAATAATAAAGGATTACATTCAATTTCAAAGTAATTACTGGCATACATACATATTAACACATAAAATTAGTAAAAGATCACGTTTAATTTAAGAGTTAATTACCAAAATACACACTAATATACACATAAAGTAGTAAAGGGACATTCATTTTTGAAGGACATTCATTTTTGAATTTAAGTTGTAAAAGGGTCATATTCAATTTCGAATTTAATCACCAAGTTACTAAGGGCCCTAAGTTTGAATAGGCTAATTAAGGAGAGTATGGATTCGTGTAATCTAACTGGACCTAATGTTATTTTATTTTATTATTATTATTATTATTTGGGGCATATCACATGGGCCTGAAAATTTTGAGGCCCTCTAAGTGTTGAGGCCAAGGTGACTGCCTTGGTTGGGCCAGGCCGGCCTTGCCCACAGGCTACATATCTTATCTCCATCTCTTATATCGCACCTTTAGCCCACCGCTGGTTGGTTCTATTATCATAAAGCTGCTTCAAAATTGGCTTGATTTCAAGACGTAGAATCTATGTTGAATCACCATTTAGCGGGGCATCAAATCAAGTATAAGTATAACCAATTTCTAAAATACCACTTCCTCGTGAGTGAATTTATCTTGAATCGGAATCTTTTGGCTCAACTTTATCCCAGTTTTGCCGAGGGAGCAACCCGTTTTGTTGGTTGGATCACACCCTGTTCATCCTCTGGCATCACACTCTGTTCATCCTCTGGCGTTAAATAACGTGCGACAAAATTCATAAAAATTTAATAAGCAAACCCTTAGCCCCTTGCTTGTCGTCACAGCAACTCGAAAGATTACTTGCAACCACTCAAGCGCCTTGTACAGGTATTTATGGCGATGGAGAAAAATAGAGGTGGCCGACGATAAGGAAGAATAAGGAAGAACAATGTGAGAGAGAGAATCAGATTAAGGCTTCCGGATAGAGTAGTGAGAGAGAATCAGACTAAGTTTGATTTGGATCCAATACCCGAATAACCTCTCAAATATTTTATTTTTTATAATTGAAACATATCTAATCAAAGAAGGTAAAGCAGCAAAATGAAAGATACACTTCTCTTTTAAATTTTAATGATTTATTATAACAATTTTGTTTTTCAGGCCAAATCCTCCAACGTTTTCTTCAATACTAATATTGAATTACAAACATACCTATCTCAACCCCTTTTATTTTATTATTATTTTTTCATACCATATTTTATTGATTAGAGTGGAGGGTTCAAGTCCTCACAAGAGCAAAGTGAGTTGTGACTGTAAAAAAAAAAAAAAATAATAATCACTAATTTGTGAGAAGATAACAAACTTGTGTAGGGTAATTATTAATCCATTGGGTGTATTCCAAATGCAATAACAAAGTGACTTGCAAGTTGCAACTACTTTCATGGTTAAATACTACATGCTAACAAATCTCATGGAGTAATACTGCCAACAATGCCAAGTTACCTAAGAAATCATCGATAATGTATCTCGAGAACTATAATGCATCTCATGCAAATTTATCAAAAGCCGAATGCATGAATTTAATAAATGCCAGAATAAATAAGAGATAATTTAACTTATAGGGCATATAATCCCAACAATATTAACACACTTCACTTGCATCTGACTTGATGGTTACTACAAGTACAAACTAGGCTAGAAGACTTTGGCGCGACTCCTCGTCTTGCTGATTAAAACATAGATAAGACATGTCTCTGAGGCATTAGAGAGATTCCAGCAAAATTATCTCAAAGGCCATCAGCAGTTATTTTCTCTATGTATATGCATCAAAATTTAACCTCCTATAGAACATGATTTTATAAGCTGTGAATTGCCGTTTTTGGTACCGAGACGAATGTATGAATTTAGTGCAGTTCAAAAAATACAACACAGCGCCAGCTATCTGTATAGCATGAAGTACATAGAAATTATTCTTGTCACACACAATTCTTAGAATAGCTGTAAAAGGACATTATCTTTATAGCCAGCTTATTGATATGTGCTTCAACTTCTGGTTTCTCGAGGTGAGTTTCTGACTAGCCTATCAGGAAGAAACACAGGAAAGTCTGAATCTGCACGAGTCTTCGTTCCGGCACATGTATTTATTTGTTGAAAATACATAAATATAAACTACGTCGAGACAAGCTTTTTAACAGCATATTCTCACAATTTTGCTATTTGCTGACTGAAAGTCGGGTCAATGCAAACAACTACCTATAAGATTTTTTTCATCAAAACAATAATGTATTAGAAGAAAAACACAACAAATATATAAGAGTAAGAACATCCATGTTACATGGACTCTTCAAAAGTAGGTGAAGTACTCGTCTCGGACACACAATACTCGGACATGGGTATATATATGTGCCTGACACTTTTGGTTGGGCATGCACTTCAAAAATATATTCAATTGTTAAAATTTGTTTTATTATTTTTTAAAAATAAGTGAAATGCCTATATTGATGATTATGCACCAAACAGAAATTATTTTCTTCTAAAAAATAAATTAATTTAGCAGGATCCATGTGCCCTGTTTGAGGAGATGACACATATGACACTTGAATTCATACACGCACCAGACACAAATACCCGAGCCCATGTAACATAAAAGAACAAAAGGAGATATGATAGCCATGTCCAATATGTCACCTTGCCAATACTTTTGCCAGAATGGAGATACTCAACTGCATCTGCAACAGAATGAAGGCCGAGAAACCTTTTTGGGTCAATAGCAACCTGTTATATATACATGAGCAGGTTAGATATTCTAATATTGTATAAAGCCCAAGAAACTTTTTACTAGGAAAGATGACTAAAATGTAGTTGATTGGTGTCTGAGCAAATAAAGGAAGACAAAAATCTGTCTTCTTGAAAAATACAAGGTTTCTGCGCAATTTTATGTTTTACTAATTCACGATGAATTCTGTTTCATATTTACCTAATTGAGCTTGAGTAGCACGAAAGTATTTTGAAAAAGGGGACACACATTACCGTGGTATTAAATTAATGAGCCATACTATGAAAATTTGGGAGAGAGTGATTGAACAATGCCTAAGACAAGAGTCTGAAGTGTCAGAAAATTAATTTGGAATCATGCCGAAAAGGTCAACAATGAAGGCTATTTACTTATTGAGAAGACTAATGGAAAGATATAGAGAGAAGAAGAAAGATCTCCATATGGTTTTATTGATTTAGAGAAAGCCATTGATAGGATACCATGAGATCCAATATGGACGGTTTTAGAAAAGAAAGGAGTCAAATAAATTATATTGACAAAATAAAGGATATGTATTATGTTTGTGTGACTATAGTTAGACAATTGTAGAAGAAACAAGTGAATTTCTAATAACTATAGGATTACATCAAGGGTCGGCATTAAGCCCATACCTTTTTGCCTTAATTAAGGATGAGCTAACAAGACAAATTCAAGATGAGATTTCATGGTGTATGTTATTTGCTGATGGTATTGCTTTAATCAATGAGACAAGAGAAGGGGCAAGGTCAAATTGGAGGTTTAGGGGGAAGCTCTAGAATTAAAAGGGTTTAAGATAAGGAAAAAAATAAAGTGAATTTATGGAGTATAACTTTAGTAAGTCTAAAAATACAAATGAGGACGTGGGGAAGATCGAGAATCAAGAGGTGCAAAAAGGTGCACATTTTATTATTTAGGCTTAATTATTCATAATGAAGAGAAATTGAAGATGATGTTAATCATGGAACAAAAGGCATGATGGGCTAAATGGAGGAGTTCATCTAATATATTGTGTGACCGGTGTATCCCTTAAGATTGAAAGGGACTTGGAACAACTATTAGACCAGCCATACCTTATGGGACATAATGTTGGGCAGTTAGGAACAACATATGCTTTAAAGTGAGTGTGGCAGAAATGAGAATGTTGAGATGGATGTTAAGTAAGACTAGAGAGGATATAATTAGAAATGATCACATTTGTGAGATGGTTGGATTAGCACCAATTGAACATAAAATGAGAAAATTGGTTAAAATGGTTTGGACATGTACAATGAAGGCCTTTAAGTGTGCCAGTAAGGAAGAGTGACATAGTTCACATTGAGAGTCATACTAAGAAAGGAGGAAGACCAAAGTTAACGTGGGTAGAGCACGTAAATATGATAACATGTGGTTTGACTCAGGCCATGGCCTTAGATAGAGCTGAATGGAAAAGTACAATTCATGTAGCTGACACCAAGTAGTTGGGAAAAAAAGATTTGGCTTTTATTGTTGTTATTTAACTAATTGACATATTTGAAGAAATCAAGAAATGAACACGGCCATTTATTCTCTCCTTAAATTGTTCAAATGATATGAGGATTAATTTAAATCTAGTGTTATTTTTATACACCCTCAAAACTTTATGCAAAATTTGTCCTTTGCCAATTCAATTGTTAGATTATATACCTCTATCATGTTTGTCAATACCAAGTCAATATCTTATCAAGTATTTTATCCATGAATTCATATTTTTTCACTAAAAAATTATAAATAAACTCTAATTTTAAAATATTTTGATGAGGAAAGTTTCCAATTGATTTGAAGGTCCGATGCATGAAGGATGACAAGAATATTCAATTCAACATTAATTTGCCAAATGACGGAACTTAATGAATGATTGCATTCAATTTAATTGGGCGCGCGCGCGCGCGTATATATATATATATATATATATATATATATATATATATATATAATGATAAGATAACGAAATCAACTATTTGAAATTAGAGATACTTTAAATTTAAGTGGTATATATACATATAACTATATTTAGACTAGGATAAGAGAGTAGGACAGATGTTAGAATTGAGTTTCTTCAAAAACAACAGCAGCAACAACAATAATTATAAGAATAATAATAGCAATAACAATAACAACAACAAGAATAACAACTACAATAACAATAATAATTGTTAACTACCATCTACTCTAAAAGCTTAAGCTATTAGAGAGGGGTGTAACTTTAATATTTATTCCTCTAACATGTCACCTTACGTGTGGCCTTCTTTTGGTCCAACATGTGTTCCAAATTTAATTATCTTGGTGCAGGACATTATCTGCTCTGATACCACATTAACCACAATCTACTCTTAAAGCTTAAATTGTTAGAGATGGTGTAATTTTAATACTCAAATCCTCAAAAAATACACCAACAACAACAACCAAGCCTTTTCCCAATTATTTGGGAATGGGATTGGCTATACATGAATCCTATGTTTCCATTCCGCTCTATTTAAGGCCCTATGCTAGAGAGTACTCGAAACAAAAACAAAACCAAAAACAAAGGAGAGGGGGCTTCTAGAGAGAGGAATTCTTTTTTGATTTCACCTTCGAGGGCTGCAAGTACAAGAATTTATTTTGGGTTCGAATTTGAGGCAGGAGAAACACACTTTTCTTGTGCATAATATTTAAGTATGCCAATCATATTTTTTGTTCTTTTCTCCATATATATATATTTTTATTTCATTATAATAGGCTTATTGCATTCACATGGACAGTTTTCCTTGATTTTATATTATGCTTTTTATGAAAGAGTGTACTTATTGTGTTGTTCTCAAGTTTGAATGATGTCCCAAATTGAGGTGAAATTATTCATTGCAACCGTTGTGACGATGATGCGGTGCAACGGACGGCTACAAACACTCTACCAAAGCACATATATCAGCTTTTTGGTTCTATTGTAGGTCCACTTTGCTTTGGTGGAGTCTTTGTAGTCGTCTATTGCACCACGTCATCATTGCAACAGTTGCAATGAATAATTTCTCCAAATTGAGGGGAAAAAATGAAATTGAAATTGAGTCATGTAATTCGATTGAATATTGGCAGAATGCTTTAGAGTGATGGAATGTTGAGTGGTTGGAATGCCCACCACCTTTATGGGGGCACTAATTAGGGTGTCAACAATCCAGGAGTTAAGATAACTCAAACTGCATTGAGGTTGGAATCAGGACATGATATCATGTTTTTATAATTGAAATTAGCTTCAAACTATGCTGTGACTCATGAAATTTTTGTGTCACAACTCATTCATGATGCAAACTTGGCAGTTGGTGCTGGTGATTCCTTGTGTATTTGGATTTTGGACTAATGCTTTTATTTAAACGGTCACGTTTCATGAAAAAGTGACCTGCGACGCTCATATTCTTTATATCAAGTACAACAGAGAGAGGTGACTTCTTATTTTTCTTTCCTGGTTATTGATCTCTGTTGGAGAATATCTTATCATAGGCTAAAATCACTCCTATGATATTCTCATATCAAGATTCTGTCAAGGAGTAATTTAAGGAATGGTTCCTATAATAATATTCTCCAACAATCTCATTCTATTATTTTTCAGATTATGGCAAGGAGGCTATGAATGAAAAAATCCCCACTTGTCTCGACGATGACTTGACTCTATTCATCAATGTTGTTAACAACCATCTACTATAAACGCTTATGCACGTGTGGCCTCTCTTTTGGTCCAACACGTGTCTCAATTTTAATAATCAGGGTGATGTGAGGTTTGGACATAAGACCTTGCCTGCTTTAATAACATGTTCACAACCATCTACTCTAAAAGCTTAAGTAGTTAGAGAGGGTGTAACTTTTTATTTTTCCTAGTTGGTACTCACACACACCCCTCCAAGGAATTGTTTACCCAAAATTCTCTTCTTCTTTCCCAAAATTCTTTTTTGTACACTCTTTCGAAGAGGAGGGAAGAGGTTCGGATGTGGGTAAAAGGTGTGTGTGAGTGTTCTTGGCAATGAAAAAAAAAAAAGGAAGTAAATTTGCCTAAAGGGCAAATCGCCATCTCAGCTGTTTCCTTTATGACCTTTTCTTCTAATAGTTGGAGCTGTAGCCTGGCCAGCCTTAGAGGTTAGCAACATTATGCCAAGTATAACAGAAACCATGATTCAGGTTATTCACGCAAATCCAATGAATACCAGGTATAGATCAAACAGCTTCTGCTTATGAATCATATCAAATTAAATCAAATACAAGCATAATTTTGAATTTGACAACAAGTAGCAGCAAAATTGAACCAAAGTCGAGATTGAAATTAAGGAATTTCTCCAAAGATATTTCTAAACAGATTAAATAACAGGCTCAAGGGTAAACAGTGCATCTTTATTCTTATTGGAAAGAAATGCAAGCAGACAGATTTGACTGGTATTTAAAATAACAATAATTGTGGCAGAAACATCTTAGATTAGGAACAAACATTTACTAAAACAAACAAAAGAAAAAAAAAATACTCTTAATTATATAGGAAAATAAATATATTGATGAAATGATGTGGGTAGATGTATTACCTTAAGCTTTCCCAAGGAAAAAAGATGAAAAAGCCTGTCAAGATGCTGTTGCCATAGTTGACTATATTGTACCAAGAAAAAGCCAGCCTGAAAAGTATTATAGAAGCAGAAAAAGTTCCAATATCAAGTGTTTAAAGTTTTAAACCTCAAACAGAATTCATTGAAGACTGGCAACAGATTATTAACTAATGATTTAGGTGCATGGAGAGAGACTTGCGTTTAGGAGATATACGATATGTAATAGAACTAAACAGACTCTGAAAGACTGCAGCACATTATTAAATGATATCGGCTTTTTGAGTAGTGGACGCAGTATTAAACTGGATTCCCAATTGTTGCAAAATGGGTCTATTTAGCAGAAGCAACCATTAGTTCTTGCAAAGGGGAGGAATGTAGACCACTTCATCAACTTGAGGCATGGGCTGCAAAGGAGCAGACTGAAGAGGAGGTGCCGCATGTTGAGTTTGAAGAGCAGCAACCAAAGCTTAGAGTTAGTTTCTGAGCATTCCCACATCTTTAGTGAGTGAGTAAAAAGGGAGCCTGACTTGGAACTTCTTTGTTAGCCATGTCTCTGTTTCTTTGGAGATTTCTTGTGAGAATGGGACTATGAACTACTTGCGCTTGTCTCCGTCGAGCAATGGTGAAGAAGTAACCTGAAATTTATAGGGATTTTGCAGGGAAAATAAATGTAAAAAAAGAGTAACTTCGGGCAACTTGTAGATTGCCTACTATGAGAATTCTTCAAAAACTTTAAGCTCTTCCTCTCCAACACCAAGCTTTAGGACTTCTCTTCAATGGCTTCAACACCCCCAACTCTTTGTTCCTATGACTTTGTATGGGCTAGAATCCACAAGCTTTGGAAGAGTGAGCTCCAAAGAAGTCATAGAGAGAGAGAGAGACTAGGTCTTTCAAATGATGCATAAACCACACATATATATAGAGGGGGAGAGAGGGTGGACTGCCACACCACCCCCCCACCCCCCCAAACCCCTCCTCGTCTCATCCAACTTCCTTGCTTGCTCTCCAAGATAGACTAGGAATCGGATCTAGTTGGGCCTATCCAAAACTTGGTTCCAGTGGGCTTCTTAAAGGATTAGTCAATCCTTGACCCAACTAATTAGCCCATTAATTATTTTTCATTCCACTAAATAGAAATAGTTGCACTCCGAGTGATGAATAATGATATAATTGCCACAAGTGTTGAAATACAAGTTTGCCCCTCTATGCTAAATTATGATATTGGACAATTAATCCAATCACTGAATGAAATAGCATAGTAACATCTTGAGAATATATGCTCCAATGCCAATAAGTAATGATTACCCAAAATACTCAGATTTTAGAGCCTTGGGTCAACTGAAGTAAATCAAAGCAACCACTAACCAAAACAAGAGTCCATTGCTCTCCCAGGTTTAAGAGTTGAAAGATTCTTTATACAGAAGAGCTTACTCAAATGAATTTCTCTATGAGGTTCAGAGTGTCTGCTTCATCTTTTGAGGAGTTCTCTATGAGTTCCTCAGTATTGCTGCCGGTTCTTCTCCTAGAGCTAAGTTCTGTAGGAATGCTTTTGCTGCTATTATTTGGAATTTTTGGAAGGAAAGGAATTCAAGACTGCATGATGGACTGTATAGGGAGGCGAATCAGATTGCTATGGCTTCGGTCTTTGAGGCTGCTCTTGGCCTTGATTTCTGTCCATGACATTGTTGCCTTATGTTAGTCTTGCCTAATCTGTGTGGCATTTTTTTTATTTCATTTTTGCATTGGAAGTGGTTCCTTTTCGTGTTCCCTTCCTTATTTTGATGTAGTGGGAGGATATGCCTCTCCCGCCTCCTATTGTACTATAACCTTTGTTATTATATAAAATCCGCCCCATTCAGGGAAAAAAAAAAGTTCCTACTCAAATGGGATTCTAGATCACTAGCACCCACTTTGTCACTGCAAGTGAATACTACATCACCAACATACATTGCAAGAATAATACAACTATCACTATTCCATTCAACCACTGAATAATCTGGCATTTTGCACCTAATTCATAGGCAACAACTACAGCACAAAACCTCTTGAATGGTCTCTCCAACAGTAATACAAAAATAATAGAAAGTAAGTGCTTAAGCCAAGAATAATTCATTATCCATCATAGTCATCCTTATTTCATGGATTGAACAGTAATATCTTATCTGAAAGTACAATTTACTGCAAATAAATATATAATCTCCAACCATTACAGAGTGATACTTATTTCATGGATTGAAAAGTAGTACCTTATCTGAAATTACAATTAATTGTAAAATAAAGATATAATCTCCAGTAAAAATTATAATGAGTTTAAATATCTATCATAAACGTAAAATGGATAAAATGCTAGCCTATTACAGCACCAAATCAATTGAAAATAGTTAACATACCACAGTTTGGCTTTTTGCTAGAAGCTTCTCACATATCCCAGTATAATTTAATGGCTTCCATCCCTCCTCTCCTTGATACTGAAACACAAATTATTCGGTTCACCAATGGCAGGTCAAAGTTATAAATTGGGAAGCAAGCACACGCAACAAAAAGCAAACTGATGTATTGAATTAATATATAATTCTTTGATTTTCAAATTTTTCGTCGAATTTAGACTTCGGAATCAATAGGATAATTGCATATTTATAACAAAACACATTATCACAAGAGCGATCTTCAAACTTTGATGTGCATCCTCAATACTTGCGGTAAAAAATGTAGAACATGAGCAATTCTTTAAAAGTTGCGCGCAAGTTCTTTAATTCATAAATGAATATGGAATAAAATTATTGATATTCATGCAGAAAACCTAGCAGTTAAGTTGCTTAATAAAGATCCATCTGACATCGTGATCTTGCAAATACGCAAGTAATAAGGAAGTGATTTGATTCAAACTGAGGGTAAGAAGAAGATAAAGAAAGATGTTGAATGTGGTAACATGATGACACAATAACAATAGAGGTCTATAACTTTTTGAATGACATGTCCACAAATAGAGTGCAACATTGAGAAAGGATCTCCTCAGACCAACAAATAGGTGGCACTAATACATAGATTTTTTATGATATTAAAACCTTGGTTACATAACCACATAATGTCAAGCAATTGCCTAATATGCATGAAAATTTGAAAGCAGTAATAAGAGATGCTTTTCATATTTTGGTCTTAGAAATATGGTCCTGGATAGAGTTCAATGGTAAAACAGATTCTTGCATAGATTCCCAAGTGTGGAAGGATTTAAATATTAAAAGTTACACCCTCTCTAAGAGCTTAAGCTTTTGGAGTAGATGGTGGGAACATGGTATCAGAGCCAAAAATCTCGATTTCAAACCTCACCGTCACCCAAATTAAAAAATTAAAACACATGTTGCACCAAAAAGAAGACCACATGTGAGGGAGCATATGGAAGGATTTAAATATTAAAATTACACCATCACTAACAACTTAAACTTTTGGAGTAGATGGTGGTTAACACCAAACATTAGGGTTTTTGTGAACTTCAAATTTTTGTTAGATTCTGATAATGCACAAGTGGCATTACCTCACAGGACCTAACGAGAGTTTGAAATCTTGGATATTGTTGAAATATCTTTATTATTGTTATTATTTTTATTATTTTTATTAGCTGTTTTTAGCCTTTTATTAGATGTTTTATATAAGATCCCTATAATCATGGGACCACGTAGATAAGATCCCTGTAATCATTGGATCCCGTAGATAAGATCCCCATAATCATGGGATTACGTAGATTTTGGCATATTTTATGTCTTTCTTTGATTTGGTTTCCTTTCCTTGAACCATCTTCTTGTATATAAATATAGATATTGGCTCTCGGTTTGAGTAAGCCAAAATCCAAAATTTCTTCTTTTTGGTATTAGAGCAAAACAAAAACCTTCGCCTCCCCATCTTCCTCCCCAATGCTGCCACCTTCTCTCTCCCTCTCTCCATTTTCCCTCACCTCCGATGTACCTCCATCTCCTCCCAACCCTTGTGCCGGACCCCTCGAGTAACCCTCTGTTTTTAACTCCTTTTTTAGGAGAATTCCATTAGTTAAATATATATATATATATATATTATTTTTTTTTAATGATCCAAGGGTCCTTCTGGTGTTTTTTTTTTTTTCTTTCTGGGTTGCCGGTGTTTGTTCGGCAACATATTTGGAGGAAAGCGCCGATTTTTCCGGCCTTGTTTTTCTCTTTCCTCTTTCTTTGACGTGTGGACCAGCCTTAGTTTGGTACTATGAGTGATTCTAGTAGCCAAAAGGACACTTAATCTTCGGGCTGTGGCCGCACTGCCGCAGTAGTCAATACTATTGGTGGGTATTCTACTCCACAGATTGATGTCCCTCCTGCTTCAACTCCTCTTAGACCATCTTTTCAGGACTTCAAACAATTACAGTCCCAGATTGGTCAGCATCAGGAGCAGTTCGGAGCCTTATCTACCAGGGCCGACTCTTCTACTGCCACGACTACTATAGCTACAGGTACTCCTTCTGCTTGTCATGTTAAAGCGGGAAACCTACTTGGGTTCTGGATTTTGGAGCCAATGATCACATAACTGGTGAGTTGTCATTATTTTCTACTCCTACTCCCGTTACCCGTGTTAATCAGGTTGTTAGTCTAGCCGATGGGTCAACCACTATTCGTAGCAAAGGAAATGTTCATCTATCCCCTGATATTATTTTGCCTCTGTTCTTTATGTTTCTAACTTTGCACTTAATCTTCTATCTGTTAGCAAACTTGCCAAATCACTAAACTGTGTAGTGATTTTCTTTCCTCATTACTGTGTTTTAAAGGACATGTGTTCGAAGAGGATTTTTGGCAGGGGATATAAGCATGATGGCCTCTACTACTTTAGGGATCCTCCACTGACACCTCCTCCACTTGCTTCAAGCCTTCAAGCCTTTGTTCTTTCAGTTTCCAGGTCTTAGGAATTTTCTTTTCAGACTTTTTATGGCATGCTTGCCTTGGGTATGTAAACTTTCAGTATTTATGTCTACTTTTCCCTTCATTAATAACGGCTTATAAGGATAGTAAGTTTCAATGTGAGATTTGTGAGCTTTCTAAACATACTAGAACCAATTATATTTCTCATATGCATCGTGCACCTAGTATGTTTGATCTTATACATATTGATGTGTGGGGTCCTTCTCCTGTTATTGCCTTTTTGGGGCATCGTTATTATGTCACATTTTGTTTAATTTTGGATGCGGAAATAAGAAATGCAAATAGGAAAAGGGAAGAGAGAAATATAAAAAATATAGGCATATACATGGTTCGGCATTAAGGCCTACATCCATGGACAAAGAGTCACTAAGGGCTACATTTTTATTATTCAGATCTGTATATTGCTCGAGTACAAAGAGCCTATATATAGGCATGGTAAATATAAGAATATATGGAAGGTGTACAATAGTCAAATGAGGCACCATGATTGGTGGAGGATTTTGTTCCACCGTTACATAGAAATATTTATAATTGGAAGGAAATTGACCGGATCACTATGATTGATGGAGAATTTTGCTCCACAATTATATAGAAATATTTATATATTTCAACACTCCCACACAAGTTGGAGCATGAATATCATGAATGCCCAACTTGCTAAAGAAACGCCCTGAAAGATGATGAGAAGTTGTCTGGAACAAAGCCAGGAAATTGACCAGATCTTGCCGGCCAAGGAAAATAAACTAGAACTCGCTGGGAAAAATAGCCGGAACTAAGTCGGGAAAAGGCCGGAACAACACCGGTAAAAGACCAGAACAACGCCAGGAAATGACCGGAACAATGCCGGGAATAGCCGGAACAACATCGGGAAATGGCCGGAACAAAGCCGGGAAATGGCCGGAACTAAGCCGAGAAAAGGCTGGAACGTTGCCGGTAAAAAGCCGGAACAACGCCGGGAAATGGCCGGAAAAAGCCGAAACTACGCCAGGAAAGAAATGTGAAGACATAGAGAATATGATCCATAATAATAATTCCAATTCTCCCCCTCAAATTCTAAATGGGTTTACAAGAACAACTTGGCTCTGATACCATGTTAAATTTTGGATGCAGAAATAAGAAATGCAATTAGGAAAAAGGGAAGAGAGAAATATGGAAAACACAGGCATATACATGATTCGGTATTAAGGCTTACATCCATGAACAAAGAGCCACTAAGGGTTACATTTTTATTATTCAGATCTGTATATTGCTCGAGTATAAAGAGCCTATATATAGGCATGGTAAATATAAGAATATAAGGAAGGTGTACAATAGTCGAAGGAGGCACCATGATTGGTGGAGAATTTTGCTCCACAATTATATAGAAATATTTATATATTTCAACACATTCATTGATGATTATTCCCGTCACAAATGGGTATATATACTTAAAAAGAAATCTAAAATTTTTCCCTTGTCCACTCAATTCCTCCAAATGATCAAAACTTAATATAAAACTGTTTTTAGGAATATTAGGTCTGACAATGGTCGTGAATATGTTTCCAATGAGTTTCGGTCTCAACTTAACCAACAGGGTATTCTTCATCAGCTTACTTGCCCATATACCCCTGAATAGAATGGTGTTGTAGAGCGTAAAAACCGCTAACTAATGTCAGTTGTTCGATGTCTTTTAAGTGGTATGAATGTGCAAAAGTCATACTGGCACATGGCGGTTCTTATAGCTACTTTTCGCATTAATCATATCCCTAGTAAAGTCTTAAATGGTAAGGCCCCCTTACAAGTGCTTCAGCCTGATATTACTCTTTTTTCCATCATGCCTCGGGTATTTGGATGTACATGTTTTGTTCAGAATCGTAGCCCTTCTCGTACTGCACTTGATGATAAGGCCATTAAATGTATCTTTTTAGGATACTCTTCCATGTCAAAAGGTTGCCGGTGTTATGATCCAGTAAACAAACATATGTATCACTCTCTTGATGTCACCTTTCATGAGCATACCCCTTTTTATGGTTTTAACACTATCTTGCAGGAAACTTCTACTCTCGATCAAGAGGCTTCTCCTCTTACTCAACCTTTTCCTATTTTTCAAGAAGAGCTTTCTTTTGTGGTTTCCTTACCCCCTTTGCAAGTCTATTCACGCCGCCCTCGTGCTCCGCCACCACTGCCTTCATCCTCCTCAGAGTCAGGTTCAAGTACATCTCTTTCTCCTTTACATTGCCCTGACCTTGTTCCTATTCCTGAGTCTCGGTATCCCACTCGGGACCGCAAACCCCCTGCTTAATTTGGATTCGCTTATAGTACTGATCATCCTATTTCGCAGTATATCTCTTATGATGTTGGGTCTTATGGAGCCTTTCTAGGTAAACTTGATTCCATTTCTATTCCCAGAAAGTTGTCTGAGGCTCTTCGGAATTCCAATTGGATGTCTGCTATGAAGGTAGAAATGGATGCTTTGCAGCATAATGAAACGTGGGAGCTTGGTGGCCAAAGGGTTTACTCAGATTCCTGGCAAAGACTTTAATGATACCTTC